AAAAATCTGTTTATGCTCCACCAAAAAAAATAGTTCCAAACAAACCCAAAATACCATCAACTGTTGCATGTTTCCAAGCAACACGCATTAGTGGTGTTTTGTTCCTGAATGAATCAATGAATCAGTATTTAAACAAACCAGCTGTCTGAATGATACAATGACTCACTCATAAAGACTTGCTGCCACCTACTGGCGAAACAATGTAACCTGCAGAAGGAGTCACTGAAAAATCCCCTCCATACTGACAGTCTGTCTGGAATGCGCAAACATAGACAAGTGACACAAACAGTGAAAAGCCCCAGTGCTGAATACATTTCTGAAGTCTTGGAATGCCGGAATCTGGATTTAACTGTTGTATAATTTGTTTTAGTAAAGCTGACCAATGAGTATTCAGCACCAGAACTGCTTTATAATGTACAAACAACAACACTGATGTCCGGCAGACTTTCTACGATTACAGAACCGTTCAGGTCAGAATCTGAAAGACAGCATCACATTGTCTCTTCACACAAATAATTAGCAGAAGATAAAGAAAAAACACAAAGAAAAGTATATAGGATAGATGGGCAAAAAAGCCCCTTATAAGAAAGAGTGATGGTGGCTATAGTCTGTGCTGTCGCCCACCACTGACCGACCCTCAGCGCTGCTGTCAGGACTGAGTGGGGGTGTGATAATTGCTGCCATCTGACCCTCTGTCCTCTGAAAAATGATCCCACTGCAGGAAGGTAAGCACTGACTCTGTTTGTCCAAAGGTGTGGTTTCGTAAACATCCGAATCCTCACTAAAACTACTCTCTGCCTAGTGTTTGCTTAGTCGAGGTGCTTAGTAAGTTGGCTTTCCAATAATTTTCCATCCAACAGGAATGAATACTTTTTTTTCCTCAATGCATAATAAAGTAATGCATCATCTGATAAAGTGTTTGTTAACTTAATTTGCCTCAAGGCACAGATTTTACATCAGGCAAGTGGTGGCCCAAAATAATTTTGTTTGTGTTGACTAACATACTAAAGCACATTTAAAGTACTTGATTATAAATTTAATGCTACAGTGTTTTATTTGATATTCCATAAATTGCAACTTCATACAAATGTGTAATTGCAAATATATTTAAAAAATGGGACACACAATTTTGACATTAAAATATATTTTAGTTTACCATAAATACTTAAATACCACATTTCAAAGACAATAGAAGTCATTGTGAAAAATCATATAAAAATGAACTGAAGTTCTACATAAGTGGGACAAAAAGCACTCATAAGTTCAGCTAATTGTATTTAATATAAATTTAAACTATAATACATTTTAATCTAATTACAATAAACTTGCAATAAGGTGTCTGAAAACATTACATTTATTTCTCACTTAAGTATTTTCTTTTAAAATATATTATTTCCATAATAAGTACTCTGTTCAAAATAACGCACGTTTTTTTCACACAGTGTGTGTAACTGTAAAAACGGACTTTTGGCTACAATATAAGCACAATACACGAGAAATTCATATACAGTATAATAAAGCATATACATAAAGTATATAGCCTAAAGCTTTTCAAACAATGTTTCAACAACCACAAAAGTTTGGTTAAACAGTTTTAGCGGTGCCAACAGACAATTTGGATGCACACAGGCTCATTGGAAAAATTGTGGGACAAATTCTCTTACATCTGCACTCAGCCCCAGAGGACTGTATAAATGGACTCTAGCAAGTGCCTTTTATGTTGTTATCCTACATTTTCTTGTTTTTCCCTGTTGCCAGTAACCTTACTGCAAGTGGCCACTAGTTGAAAACCTACTCTAATAAACAGTATTCCGAAACTACACCAATATGTGATTAATTTATTTATAATGCAATGAAGACAAAGGTTGTGCCAGACAACAGAGTTGTTTTCTAATTGACTGTTTGTTTGAGTCATTTAATAGACATTTACACGGCATTACTGGTCTTGCAAAATACATTCTTACCCAAGTGACTTTTATTGTGTAAGAGGCATTTACAAGAACAGGTAGATCAAGATCACACTGGACGCTAAACCTCAAGTTCCAAGACGACTGTTCTTCATTCCATTCCTAAAAGGAATCTTGCTCACACTCATCCTCTAAGCAGTGTGATTTATGAGCTCTTTGTGGCGCTTTCCAAATACACACGATCTTGCCCAACGGAATTGGCCAATGTCCGGTACAGCCATCCCAGATATCCAGAGTGACGCGCATGCATGTAAACGTGTAACTTTTATGTGATGAGTTGTGCTGTGACTGGTATGCCAGAGGCATGTTTGGGTAATAAGGAAAGATTTGATTGGTTTGATTGATGAATGGCTTTGGCGACAAAGTGTCCGATACATTCTGATAGCTCCTGAGAAAGGACAGGGTGAGGGAAGGGGGAAGTCTTTAGAGGGGTCAAAAGGGAGATGCTAAGGTCGTATTGATGACAGAGGAAGGAACTTTGAAAGAGAAAGAGAGGTGATGAATGACTTAGAATGATAAGGAAAGAAATGGCCAGTGAGAGAGAGAGAGAGAGAGAGAGATGCTAACTGAGGAGAGATGTTTTATCTATGAATGACACAATGAGAAAAAGTGGGAATGCACTATGACCTTTGACTCCAGTGGCTCAGGAGAGAAACAAACAGAGGCAAGCGCTCACCAGACTGTTTAACTGAACCGATAATCGTACTATTTAACAACACTGAAAGTATCATACACGTAAAATAATCCTTTAAATGTTTCTTACGCTGGATCTTATGATCCTCTGAAAAAAGGAACCTCAACCACGAATAATATACACAATCACCTTAGGTGTAATTTTCACTCTATGAAATATTTCCTTTTAAAAAGCTGATTTTCAAGTTTTTCAACATATTACCTGACAATTAGGTGTTTCTAATAATACAAATATTACATTATATAATATAACATTATGCAATCTCAAGATAAAATAATACTTTTAAAACACTATCATTCAAACTTTGGAGTCACTAAGATTTTTTTAGTTTTCTTCTTTTCAATAATTAATACTTTTATTCAGCAAGGATGCATTAAATCGACCAAAAGTGACAAGACTTTTACAATGTTACCAAAAAAATGCTATTTCAAATAAATGCTGTTCTTTTGTTTTTTTATTTATCAAAAAAGTATTACGTTTTCACAAAAATATAAAGCAGCACAACTGTTTTCAACATTGATAATAATAATACAAAAATGTCTCTTGAGCAGCAAATCAGCATTTTAGAATGATTTCTAAAGGATCACGTGACACTGAAGACTGGAGTAATGATGCTGAAAATACAGCTTTACCAAACCAGGAAAAAATTACAGTTTATAATAGAAAACAGTTACTATAACAAGATTTCACAATAGTACTGTTTTTGTTGTATTGTTTTGATCAAGTAAATGCATGATTTGGTTAGTTTCAAACTTTAGTGTAGGTGTAATAAGATATATCTATGACTTAATCTTACAGTCATGACAGATCCAGTCGTTTATTTTAAAGAGAATTTAACAGTGATATTTCTTCAAATACTGGCACTTCTTGAAATTATGTTTTACATTTAAAGAATAGCACATCATTTTAGTAAGGAATAGTTATGATGGCAACACATGGCACACAAACTCAAGTCTTTTAAATAATACACTATGCCAACTATGATATACAGTATTTGTGTGCAATTAAATTGCTAAAAGTAATACTAAACTAAAATGCATAGTTCTATGATGAGTCCCGTGCTACTCTATAACTACAAATCTACAAAGAACAATATCTGGTACAATAAATACATGACTCAATTAGTTATTGCTGAACTTACACATGCACACTTAAGATCAGAATAGAACTGAATTAAAAATCATTGTAATAAATCAGTCTGAAATCAGGCATGACTGAAATGTGAAATACCACAGTGTTTTAAAATTGAAAAAAAAATGGGCGTTTTTATGTAATATACAGGAGACTCTTAGGAAAATGGCACATGGTGTCTGTGCAGCACAATGTTAAAGCCTAGAGTTTACTGTTCACACATAAAACTAGTTTAGTGTCAGATTCAGGAGCTTAGTTTAGGATTATAGATAGTGTTAAAGGTTTGGCTCTCAATATATTGACCCTCATTTGTATATTGATTCTGATTATCTTGCTTTTACCTGGACATATCTTGTGAACAGGTCAGACCTGTAATTGGATTCAGCAACTCCTTTGCTTTAGAGTCACTGAAAAATAAACAGACAAACGAACACATTTAAATAGACACTTTCAGATAACATATTCCCAGAAAATAAATTCAAGGGAATATATATATATATATATATATATATATATATAGTAACAGGGACAAGAATCACACGACTTCCCCCTTCCTCGCTTGTTTCCAGGGCGACGCTGATGCAGCTTTGGGACGCTCGTCACACTCCCCCCCCCAAGCGTCGTCCTGGTCCTGTTAAAGATATGAGATAGTAGGGGAGAGATAGGG